AATAAAGAATTCTCAAGCGACCAATCGGTGTTTTGGTTGTTTCGCCCGTTATAACTAAGCGTTTCTGAAAACTTCAAGGAACAGCGTAGGCCCGAGCGTAGCAAGAGCTGGGCATTAACGGTTTATGAGACGTGATTGACAAATGTTATACCAATAAATCACGATATTACTTCTGATAGTCTTTAATCTTCCTTCTGAACAGAAAACGATGAGACAATGACTGTCTTATGGATGAACCGCGAAAATTATGGGGAAGTTGGGCTTGAGCAAACAGTCACGAGTTGATCGTTCAGTCCTCAACTACTTTAACAATTCAGGTTTGGGGCAGATACATGTCCTATATATACCTAATCTTGCTTCTTGGGTGTAAAAGCCATGTAGTACAAAGCCAGTAAGTCGTTTACAGTCAGTCGGAAAGGGTTAAATCTGAGTATGTTATGCCGAGATCCGTTACTGTGTTCAGTTTTGAGAGGAGCTCACCGTACATATATAGGCATATTTTCGGTTTCTAGAGTCCAAGGTGGGCTATACCGCACTTGTCGCGCTGGGAGTCAGTTGTCACTTTTCGCTCCAATAGCCTAGATTGTCTAAGTCATGCTGGATCTTGCTTTCGATGCCCAAATCATTGTGCCAATAATCATATACTATTATGAGGTCATCTGCAAAGAGGAACGGCTTGCTATACTTGATCACATAGACTGTCATTTATAAACAAGGGGAAAAATGGGACCAAGAACGTTTCCTCATATTATACCATTAGTTATCGGTTTTGATGAAGACAGCTGGTGGTTGATTTTGAGTGATTGCTCTCTTTCTGTGAGAAAAGAATTTATCCTTTGAGAAGTTTTCCAGTTATTCCGTAGGATTGGAGTTTTGTTAGGAGTCTGATATGTGGGACTTTATCGAGGGCCTTGATAACGTCGAGAAATAATGTTGTTGCTGAACGCCCATCATCAATGCATTGTGTAATATAGTCAAAATAATCTAAGTGGCAAGTAATACATGACCTTCTACTTAAGAAACCGTATTGGGATGGGAATAGTAGATCATTTGAGAGCAGGTACCGAATGTTTTGAATCTTTCCATTACACGTGAAACTACAGACGTGATGTTGATGGGACGTTAAATGTTCATATTAGCTATAGACCCGTGGTTATGGACAGGTGAGATATATGACTTTCCTCAGCAGGTACGGTATATCCAATCGCTTAGTGAAATTGGGTATAATTTGAGCAGGAGTAAATTCATGTCATTACTACCGTTTTTCAGCTGAATGGAAGATATAGAGTCTGGACCGATAGTGCTAATAAGCTTAAGATTTGCAGCAGCTTTATCGATCTCGTGTGTGGTGAAATATATGTTACTTAGACATTCGTCTGTTTTACGTCGGAAATCAACGACCTCATCGTTCTCTAATGTGTACAATCTGATGAAGTGCTTGCTTAACAGATCGCATATCACCTCAGTATTTTCGTAAGCAATGACGTCTAAGTATATTCTTTTCGGATAAGCTGTTTTGAAGTTCAACCTACTTTTGAGAAATTTGGCTATTTCTCCTGGGCTATGTGGTGCATGAATGACCTGCATTTCTCTGTTTCTGAGGCCTATATATCTCAACTCTTCAATTCTATAGAGAAGAGACGTGATAGCGATTAATGATGATAATTCATGATATCTGTAGTATTTTATTGAGTGCTTCCGTAGAATTCCCCTAAATGGTGTTGGAATATCATCACTTTGGGGGAATCTGAAGCTCAGAATCTTCTCAGGTGCACTGTCGTCATGAATTGAGTTAATATCTCGGTAAAAGTTGTTAAGAATTGCCTCTAAGGACTCGTCCGAGTCCCAGTTAGAACATTTAATTAGGTGCTGATAAAAAGGCCCGGTCAGCATGTGTGTGCAGTCACATAGGTTTCTGGCCAGCTTCATATCTGCATTTTGTTTCACGAAAGGTGTTAAAAGATCACACTATTATTTTATGGTCATTGCCTGGAAATACATGTACCACATGTACTGTAGATGGTGTTATGTTGTTCATGGAAATAAGGTCTAGGATATTTGCAGATCCAGTGGGTGGATTTGTATTGTGCCCAATCTCCTGTGATGATGGAATTCATGAGATTATCATACATTTGGGGTCCTCGGAGTGAAGACCGTGATACTTCTGACAGGTTCAAATCACCTCCGATTATTTTATAACTTAACGGAAGATTAGCTGTAACATTAAAGGTGTCTCTGAGCATATTATCATATTCCCTGCTGGATGAAGGGGGTTGGTACACACGAGCCACAAGTGTAGGTTTGCTTCTGACAAATTTATTTCGACCCAGATCGATTCACTGAGTTGTGACAGAATTGGGTTACTGAACTGCGTTGCACACATTAATTATTTACAGCAGATTACTGTTCCACCCCTACGGTCTGTCTGTCTGTCCACTGGAAAACGGTTGTATCCATCAGTCTTTAGGCTGTCACTGGAGATTTCACGTGTGCACCAGGCTTCAGTGGTCATAATCAATGACGGTCAGCATGTAGAAGCTAACGTACTGAGTGTTAAGCGTTTGTTTAGAACTGATCTAGTAAAAGATAAACACTGGCTACTTGGTTTCAGTGAGTGGACAAAATCTTGATAAAATAATCCTTGAGTATCCTCTATACACATGTTATTAGACCCATTCACCCGATACCTTTGGATCACAGGAAGACTTCAGACAGGCTTTTGGGGTGGTAGTCGGGGATGGTCTGTCGTTTGAATAGGGTATGCAGTGAGAGACACCCATGTGATAGTCAGATATAAGTATTTTAGAGACATAAGTATCCACGTTTTGTGCCGACACTGTGTCAGCTATCTCCCGGGAAATATGCCTTGGCCTAGCTCTAGACTGTTCGCTATACCAGCAAGGAATTGATCCGATATCATGCGTGCTATATGCATGATTCCAGGTGTTTCTGTTAACTGACGCTGGTGAAAATCCTGCTCGAAGCGGCTAGTAGGGGCAATGTTGTTTTGAAAGGTTTAATCGATATAAGTATTCGGTAAGCTATTGACAGCATTGTAATGATGTGTTGGTATCTGTCTCGGGTAGTCATAAGAAGATAATAAGTTTCGTGCAGAGATCGGCACATGCTCCCCACTAGATACATAAGATGTATGGATGGTTTCTGTTGGTTTATTTGGCTTCCTAAATGTTTGAGTGATTTTCCACAACTTTCAGTTGATAGAACAATAGAATGGGGCTGGCTAACAACGAGTTTACGTAGTGGATGAGCAGAATAATACCAACTACCTCGCTGTGCTGTTTGTCTAGAATTAGTGGTTGGATATAAATGGCTTTCCAGTTGACACCAATAAGGCCTACCTCTCGGAGCTTCGTCGATCACATTTGACTTTCTCTTAGAAAGTCAGCTTAGAGGTGCTTTTGTCTCTGTCATATCAAAGGGCTTTCTTGCTCCAGGTTCAGTATTTAATTTATTTACTTCTTTTTCCTCTTTCTTATGATCAACTGGTTGATGATGGCTAACAGGGCAGCCAGCACATACTATGTAGGGTTTCTGTTGCTTGTACACCACACGCACTTTAGTTTTCTTAATGGAGATTGGACGTTTGTTATAACGCATAGAGAACTTGCTAACTTGGGTAGCTATATTCACAATGGATGGATTGTCAGACCGAGGGGTAACTGACCTATAAGGAGATGGGTGGAACACCAGTAAGATGGATTTTGATGTTTTCTGGCGTTTGTGTCAGTGTGCGAGCAATGTATTTCAACATTATGTTCTGTTGACTCATCTATGTCCACCATTTCAGTGTTAGCATCGGTATCTTTATATAATACTTGGCTAATATTTGTCTGTGCCTACAAAAATGTCTGATGCATGCTGTCATCAGGCATTTCACTAGACGGGATAACTCATGGGACATCATATACAGCTGTCTTATTAGAGTTATCAGCATTCAGTGTTCCTGAGTGGCATCGCCTTTGGCATGTTGTTAAATCAGGTGCAAACTTAATGTTAGTGTAGGGCGCTGAAGAGCCTGTTATCTTAACAGATTTCAGAAAATTCCTAGATTCTTAATAGACCTGAACTTGAAAAGCACTGGACATTAGTGGTTTGCAGATACTTTACGAAGACACTAAACCGGACATTCTGTCAACGACATATTACAGGCCTTTAGAAAGTAAGTCCGAATAACATGGATAAAAATGAGTTTGAAGTGCCCTACTTACCAAATGACCTTGTGATTGAGGGGTAATCCAGATATCATTTCCCAAAACAAAAGATTGAGCGGTGTGCTGCCTTATCAAAACAATCTACAACAGGCAAGTAAGTTGTTGCATAGAACCAGGACCATCGTCAAGAATAATTTTTGTCACATCCCGAAAATTTTCTTCCTTTAGCCTTACAGGTTTCCTCAGAATCCCCAACACCTGTGTTAAGAGGGGTTAATATCTAAGATATCAGACTATAGTTTGGAATATTCGAATAGCTGTATATTGCTTAGCTGCAAACACCTCTAAAGATTTCACCTATATGTCTTACAACAAAACATGTATACTGACTGGTGAGTCCTCACCAAACCATGAACCGATAGTTGATTGCCTGAGACTGCGTTACGTCTGTTCAGAGTTTAGCTCCATACCCATTTTTACGACTAAAAGTGTGTGAGGAACTGATATCTTTATCTGAATTCTCTGGGATTTTTAGGAAACTATTATTGCGGTGTTGTTAGCTGTTACTTAACATTTTTGTAGGTTTCTCATGTCACGGGGACAGAATATTTAGTTTCCTGTTTGATATAGCCATTCACTTACTCACCATACTAACAGAGGTTGCCATCTTCACGACAGTAATTCCCTCAGCTGAGTAAAGCTCTTTTTTCATGGTGTCGTTGACATGGGAAGTTGTTCTGCTTGACTGCATTCAAAGGTTATTTCACATTCTTGTCCAGGGAAAATGATGCAAATTTCAAAGGAGTTGTGGTGCACTTCACCAATGACCTTGAGGTTGACGGACAAGTTCAACCCTGAAACTATGAAACTGAAATTATTGGACGTTAAATCGTCGGTGTTGCGGGAATTTCCCATGTGACGGTACTTCAGATGGAGGCCTTAAGACTTTCGGAGTCTGAGATTAATTTTTATTTTAATGCTTTTGATGATTGTGATGTTGACAAAAGTGGGAAACTAACATGTGAATGCGTCAAGGCATTTCTATCACGTTCCGGACTCCCAAGTGTCGTGATTAATGATGTAAATGTGTTGAAGTCTTATAGAAACATTTAGATTATGCAACTGTCAGATCCTTCTGCTTCAGAGTTATGGGGAAGAGTCAGTTTTTTTACGGCCTTGAAGTTCATTGCACTAGCTCAATGTGGTCTGCCGGTTTCCAGGACTGAGTTAATGAGAAACAGTAATATCAGTCACTACTAAATAATTCTGATTTTCAGGGGAAAACCTTCCTTTACCTGTATTCAATGAAGGTTTAAAGTCTCGCGAGGAGGATAAAATTGGTGATGGTAACCATGCTTGTGGTTTAACTGTATGTTGAAATACCTGCCTTCACTTCAAACAACTTAAGATTTCCGAAAACAGTAGTCTCAGCTCGCATAAACAATATAGCAGTTTCACTTGTCATGGTGTGTTTTCCGAGAGTCAGGCAAGCGTACCCCATGACGATGTGACTATTGATGAGACGGATTTTCATTTTGCTTGGCCAAAATGCTATGGTGAAGAAGAAGGTATGTTGCTCAAGTTGTGATTGTTCATGTAACACTTTGACTGATCCATAGTATAGAATAAATTAGACTAACCAATATAGTTGTGTGTTATGAATAAAAATGCAGCTTAGGCACCCGAAGCGATCTATGCATTTCATAGATATGTATATCATAATAAGTGGCTTCATAAACTGATGTGTTGTTTATTTCAAGTCTGTAGAAGTCTTTGGCACATTCTTCCGCCGGTGCTATCTTCTTTTAAATTCCGTATTCACTAATTCCGTTGGTTCCACTAAACTAGTTCGTCTTTTAGTGCTAGGAAGATACAATCAGTCACAACGTTGCAAGCAATCTACTTATTTGCAGTGGTTGAAATTGATCGTAGTTTAACGGTGCAGCAAGTTTTGGACTGTAGTACGGACTCGAATAAGGATCATATGTTACAAGTTCTCGAAAGTATTTTTTGCTAACATCAGAGCTAAAAATCGTAGGACTGCTAGTGAAAATGATCACTTGGTAGTCCCAAAGTCAAAGGATAGAATTTCCTGAGAACCTTTTAGCATGTTATCGTTGCTGGACGAGAAGTTGGTGCTAATGACGCCAGCAAATGTCGGATGTCAAATGTCATCATACCTTCGCACTTCATTTTCTAATAATCATGGTTAATTGGATTCATTCGTATTTTTTCATCCCACAGTAAGCTTTATGGGATAATTCATGGAAAATACTCAAAAACATATAGAAAATATGATAAGTGATTCAGTGAAGTGACTGTTTATCATCAAGCTGGACAGTCATGCGTGAATGATTTTGATAATGTGAACTGCGACAAAATATTTACTTGTCACTGAAAGCAATCTCATGGCTGTGTCAGAATGATATCGTAGGGTTCCTTCTGTTTAACTTGTGTCCTTCCAGGCATGTTAACCTAAAGGACAAAATTAGTCGTTTGTAACTTGCACAGTTTGGGGAAAAATTCCACCACAGTTTATTTTGAAAATTCAAGGAGAGGCTCCCAATCATTTTACCCTATATAGTAAACAAAATGGAAATTTAAACACTAGTGCTTACAGGAAATCCACACATTCAAACCGTTATTTGGATTTCCTTTCACCCCACCACATGTCAGTTATGATAGGATTAGTGAAGTGCTTAAATAATAGGGCGAAAGACTTAGTCATATAAGATAATCTTTAACGTTTTTTAATTACCCCGATAAATTAATCAGGAAGTATATGGGAATATGAAAAAGTAAAATTAATAATGCAGACAACATGCTTGACAAATATATGAAAAGGCGAAAACAACAATAAGGAATTCAAAACATCAGTAGTGCTTTCATACAAAGAGAGGATATCTGAAATCTTAGGTATAATTCCTGACACAGCAGTAATAAAAACGTCATTCAAACCCATTAACTCACTTCGAAATAAATTATGTTGGATAAGGAATCCTATGTCGACCACTAAACTAAATAATTTAGATTTTCTAGTACTCTTCAGTGGTTGTGGTGTTAAATAAGCACGCCAAAACAGTAGGATGGGGTGATTGAGATTAGCGGAGTGAAATAACATGGCAATACTGAAATATTAATATGAAAATACCTCAACTATAGCATTTAGTACAGTTGCACAAAACTGTACAATAGGATGGGACAAGATGACAGTTTTGAAATCTAGTATTAGTGTGAAAAGAAACAGTGATAACTGAAGCTTCATTCATCGAATCAACTAAGAATACATGCAGTATGAATGTCTCAATACATGTCCCAAACACCTGGACAATTTTACTGCCCCTAAGACAAATGCAAAGGAAGGGGACAAAAAAGTTAGGCTTCAAATTTGTGCAGTTGTAATTAGAAAAAGTTGCTTGTGTTCTAAACGTCATCCAGTAAATGACACTTTCACTGTGTGATATTTCGAGTAAAAAAATGATATAGAAGTTTTTAAATATTGTTTGTAGTCCATTGTAGATTAACATTCAGTTTCACTAACTTAATAAACAACTTAATAAGGATATCATTAGGACCTTTCCAACACATAATTGTGGACAGTGTCATGTGGGCAAAATCTTTGAAGACGATGAGGCAGTAACAACGCCGTTTACATAGTCTCAGTATTAAACGAGTATATGAGTGGCGAACTATGATGGACACCAGAGAGTTATTACACAACCATGAAGGAACACCTTTAGTATTTCGTACTCAAGGTTATTAATCAGCAATAATTGCTTTGATCAAAGTTGGTGTACCATCAATGTAGAAGTGACATATCAATGTGAGTAAAAAAACGATTCTATGAACATAAGGCGTGCGAAACTAGGAAAAATCATCGTAATGATGCTAGTGGTCTCATTTATTGTTTCATTGCTGCCGAAACTTGTCTTTAGTTTCATATCTTTTCTCTCGTATCTTAATATTCTGGTGTAAAATGTAGAGATTGAGTACTGGGTAGCGTTAGTTCCTCTGTAGTTTCTATTTTTTTCGTGCTGTGAATGAAATAAAAATATCTCAGTAGCCTTCAGGTTTCTGTGGTCGGCATATCAAAGCCAATGTATAAACGTTAGTTATTTCCCTGACACCCCTCTCAAATCCAATATTTTAGATGCAGTCTTCATACCCGATATTTAACACTGCAGATCATTTAAGATTTCAAACATAGTCTTATTTTAACAGCTTAACTGATGTTCATGAAGACTTTTGATGTGTTAATAAAACTGTTCATAATAGATGTCGATATCATGGTTAATCACAAGGTGATACATTCGTAATTGAGTTAATTATGAACAGACTGCATCATTCATAATGTGCTAGCATAGTTACTTCCCAAAAGCGCTGAATCTACAGTCGCTTTTTTCTTCCATGTGGATATTCAGCTGTGATCTGGGAATAATTGATCGTCCTTAAAGATGACTTACCGGAGCCGTCATTGCGTACCATATGGCTACATTTCGTCTTTGCATACTTTTTTATTTATTCGAAACCTGGCAACTAAAAAATGTAATGTGTAAATATGAGCACCCTATCAAAATACAGTGAGTTGCTTTGTGCGCTTGAATCCCATATCCGTAATGTTTGTCAAGTGATCTGTCCCGTGAGACTGCTAATTATTCTGCTAAAGGTTGTCGATGTTTGGAGAATGAATAGTTCTCGACAGCATGTCTACTCAAATACTTCTTTGGCAGCTCAACTGTTGACAAATTTTGAACTTCATTGGGTACAACTGATCTTTTTGTATTTCTGACATAATTTGAATAAACACATTTAGCACATTGATTTCTAGTTTTTTTGAAGTATGCGTAATTGACTTTGAATGTAACTTATGCCACTACAATCACCAGAGGAATATATACATCACTGTTTTTGATATATATATATATATATATATATATATATATATATATATTCAGCTCATCAGTATAATCAAATAAAACTTATAAATATATGGAATCTTAAATGCTTGTCTGGCTACAACTATCACTTATTATTTACACATGTACTGTTTTCTTTTTTAAGGACTTCTTAATGATGAATCCACTAAGCAACCTGATAATTTCGCTTCTTTTGACAATGATAAAAAATATTTTCGAAGTTCTGACTGGTTTACTTTAGATGGTTCAATACGTAAAAGTGCTGACTGCTCTTCATCGTCCAGATCTTCTAGCACTATTACATCTCAAGATTCTAACTCATCCAATCATCTTGCTAATCCTATGAGCTTTTCAGCCGAGGGTAATGAAGAAACTGAGAAGTTGCATGATGCTGATGTTTGGGGTTATCAAGATTTATCCGACTGTCATTCTTCTGATCCACTGAAGAAAATCAAACACAGAATAGGATCTACTTACCACTGTAAGTTAAACATTTTGCTGACATTAGGACTTAATTATGATTTAAGTAATCGTAATAATCTAGTTGTTATAGATAATAATTAGACGAATCAGCGGGTTAACTTACTGACTAACTCTCAGCTATTTGGAGCAAACTTGCAGCTATGTTATATGGCACTTTCTGTTTTCATCTCTTCATCGAGTAGGGTCTGAGATAAACTTGCTGTCAATCTCCTATAGTAGTTTCTTGCACTTACACCTTCAGAAATCGAGGGATTCACTGACCTGACATGCGCATAACGCCTCCTAAACACCTCTATAGATTGAGTTTCATAATTTCACTAATCATCTTTACTTACTCACTTGACATCGATATTACTTGCTTCATCTAAATTGAGTAACCGAGAGAAGATGCCTTGTTTATCAACTTCTCATCTTTCCATATCTCACCTTAACTGTGCTTGTCTCTGTGTAAAATAGTACAGTGGCATCTGTTGGACACCACACACGCTCTTTGATTGGTAGCAGTATATCACACCTGTGCCGGATATAATACAAGTTGGTAAATGCCAAACGAATCTTTTCTGCTTGCCTAGAGAATTCGTCAGGAATCAGTGCATTAGGATTGATTCATGTTTCAAAATGAGTGAGGTGATCAATGCATTCAGTTATTTCACTAACTCCCCTTAAATTTAGTTAAAACCATCCATTTCTGACAGGGATAAATCGCGAAGCAAAACCGTTCAGTATTCTCTTCAATGTTTTTTGTCAGCATCTTTACTTAAAATTAAGTTATCATATGCATAATCTGAATCAACAACTTTCCATCAGTATATCTGTGATAAGGTCAAGTAACTAAGTAGATTGGGAATGATTACAATGTAAATCTCGAACAGATATCAGTAATTGTCACCACTACCGATGACAACTCTTCATAAGCACTTACATGGCTGCATAAATTAGAGTAGACTGTCTTAATCAATACAATATGATTTTTTGGTAATTCTTCTATTGCCAGTCTTTGCCTGTTAATATCATATTCGAAAAAGTCCCCTACAACAGTCAGAGTCTTCCAAAAGACGCTAGTATTCTGCTTTTTGTAATTCTCCCCTGGGTGGCTATGCAGCACAAAAGCCATCTATCAATGTGAAGTCCAAAGTTAATACGAACTTCAAACATAAACAGAGACATTGCGTAACCTGGTGAGTTTCATCATCAATCCAACAATGGACTAAAATAGATCACATAGTTATGGATAAAGAGTCGTTAGAATACTGTCGCTCCTTCTGGATCAAGCAACTGTGTAGGTTTCGACTACTCTGTACTCCGTGCATGCACACGCCTACAATTAGACACATAGAAAACAGTAGCTATGATGCTGTTATTCTCTCAACTTGATAAGAACACAAAGTCTCTTTTTAGGAAAGAGTTGGGGAAACGCGTATCTCTGGTTGACATCAAGATTTGTCCTCAGTAAATATGGTATAATATCTAGTCAGCTGTGGAAATAGAGGTAAAGACGGTTGATAACTTGAAACCGAAGATTAGTAAATGCCAACAGATTTCTGCCACTTCATCTGAACAAATAGACACAGGGAAATTGATTCCGAAGGGCATTAAAGATGACAAACAGCAAAAGCTACTCAAATGCAGACTGGCTAAAACTTTCTACAACTATTGAGAACAACTGTGGGTGATGAAAACCACAGAGAAAGGCATCGACAGTAGGTAACAAAAAACAACTATATATGTTCATTAGGAGAGCGGGCTGTAAAAACTAGTGATGAGAAGAACAGTTTTCAAGAACAGTATTTTGATTGCCACTTTGAGGAGATATCTAGCCGGTCTATAGCTGCGCTGAATTTGCCCAGCATACAGTTGTCAGCGCAAAGCAAATATTCGGTCGTGTCATCCTGGAGAAAATAAAGGGTGCTACGAACGAACAACTCCGCCAAACAGCAACAAGCTGGATTCACGAAAACCAAATCACATGCTGATCAAATCGCCACACTACGAATGCCATCGAAAGGAGCATACAATCTTAATCGAATAGCTACCCCAACTTCATCGAATTTGAAAAGGCATTCGACAGCGTCGACCGTGAATTATTGATGTGTTGACTGTCCAAACACTAGCCATCGCCTCGAACCCTGATCAACCGAATTCAACAACTATGTGACAATGCCACACATCAAGTGACCAACGACGAGAAACTCAGTGAAGATTTTTAAGTGAAGACAGGAGCTAGAGGAGGTTGACTGTCTACTCTCACTAATGATATTCCTAATTGTGGTCGACTACATTATGCAGAACACTGCTCCCTGGGGACCGACAAGTCAGGAATACAATACACCGATACGAAGGCTATAAAAGATCTGAGTCTCTTGGACGGCCTATGTCCAATGTCACACCAACTAGAAGTCTTACAGTCGAAAACTAACAAGTTCAAACAAGTGGTTGGCACCGAACACAGCGCTTCAGGTGATGAACATGCAGGAGACGATGGTGATGAAGATACCTAAGCACAACAACATTAACAAAAACGATAACAACAACAGGCACTAGTCACTTGCAACGGAAGACACTTGAAAGAGAACATTTCCTCCACTTATCTCGGCAGCATCTTTTCAACTACACATGGGACGCGTGGGGATATCAAAGCCAGAATCAGAAGGGCAACACACACCTTCATCACTCTGAAAATCAGATGACAAATTTTCTACACTCAACATCTAGAACTATATACAGGTTTTCAGCACGAATGCTAAGTGACTGCTCTATAGTTCTGAGACTTGTGTCATGTATAATTTAAAGAATTTCCAGTAAAGTACTGTATTATGTCGATACCTGCCTTTTACTAAAGGTAAGGTATTTGAATAGGATAGACAGCAACTGACTTTGATAACAATGCCAAAAAGCAAGAACCTATTACTCAAAAAAATAATCAGAAGGAGATGGGGATAGATTAGATATTCACTGAAGAGAATTAAACGACATCTTTAGAGCGGAACCCGAACGGGAAACTCCGAGTTGGCCGTCGGATGTGTTATAACTCCACTGAATTAAAGTAAAACCCCGTCGCCAATTTGTTATAACTGTAGGGCTATTCAAGGAGGACGTTTTTACCTTGCTCTGTCTGCGCCTGAACTAATCTGCCTATCTGCTTGTCGTACCTTCCGATTTAGTAAAGCACGCAAATATCAAAAGACAAAGGCTGGACTGTGACTGTGTATTGAAGTGCAACAACGACAAAGGAAGCCATGGTATTTATACATTTTACAACAATATGGACAGCTAACAGCATTTGAAATAATTGATCTTAATAGCCAATAACAAAGTGCGTGAGAGATGATAATATACCATATGTGCGAGATTGACAGTCAATAACAAAATGTGTGGGAATGATAATATACCATATATACAAGATTAACAGTCACTACCAAAATGTGTGAGAATGATAATATACCATATATACAAGATTAACAGTCACTACCAAAATGTGTGAGAATGATAATATACCATATATACAAGATTAACAGTCAATACCAAAATATGTGGGATCCTATCAGGATGGTGGCAGGGTGGGGTATCATATGGAGAAAGAATGAAGGCTTATGTCAATTATGAAGTCATCTGAAAATGACTAGAGAAAAAACCAACAGAATGGCACTGTTGGAGCCGTATGCTCCACTCTAAACCCAAAGATATAATCATATAATAAATTGTGTGGTATTTGAGAGAAACTGACCCATGGAAACTAGGATGGCTGTAGGTCCTCATAACGGTGAAATGATTATATCTTCATCTCTCGACAACTTTTGGAACATAAGCTTACTTGTCATATTTCTTGATATTAAGGAGACATTTGACGTAGTTGTTCCAAAAAATGATGTAGCAATATTTAGCCGTAAAAATTGCACCGAAATAGTATGTTGTATTAGTGAAGACAGTACTCGAACTCATACATCCATGTAAGAGCTTATAGCAACTGGTCATCTGAAGTGATGAGTAGTGCTGGTGATGACAGCTAATAGTATTCGTCAGGGATGTCACCACTTTTATATCGTCTGATTATGAGTGTACTAATGAATGTGACACTTTTGACCTCGGCTCTTTAGGGGATGATTTTCTGCGAGGGAACAGTTACATCGACCTAGAGCATGTAATTGTAATCTTCCCAGATGAAGATGCTGATAAAATACACCCTACTAAAAACCTTGTGCAGAAGACTCAGTACATTTGGTGTATAATTCACTCCTGTCGAATGTAAAATTATTACCGTACGAGTGGTGTTCACTAACTAGTTTAAGTATAAGCAGTCAAAGAGTTGAATATATATTCATCAGATCAATTACTTCTGGAGTTGTACACTTCTTAATGAATTAATTACTGAGGGAAGTTTCACACGAATGCAGATGGCTTATTCGGCATTTGTTATCAACTGGCATGACTAAGGTGTGTTACGTGTGATGAGTCACCGCTTTGCTCCAAGGGCATTGTTACTCAAATTGGATAAGTTAGAAAACAGTTATTTTGAGATCAGAAGAAAATATTATTATATCAATCCATAAAGTTTCTTTTAGCTATAACCACTTAAGGAAATAGAGTTCCTGGATGGGTGCTAAGAATCAGTAGTCGGAGACTCCTTGTGAAACTGTACAAAATCTTTTTGAACACTGCAGGTGTATTCACTTTTGATGTGTTTGTGTTTTCTGAGCTGGATAGTTAATTAACACAACCACATCAAAATCATCCACCTGAGCTACAAATCTTCTCTATCATATCTAGATGTATTCACTCCTTGGCAACATGCAGATTTTGAAAATCTCCACTCACATCACCTAATTATCTTTTCCTTTGTAAGTCGTAGTCCGTTGTCGTATAATTAGTTTTTTTCTACTTTTTTATGTGCTTATTTAAAGTGTATCAACTTGAACTGGTGCATTTTTGTGCAAAGTTTTACGTCGAAACTTCAGTCAGGTTCACATGAAATCCAATCACTTTCGAGTTGGGAATTGTTACTATTAAAAAGTGTTGAGTTTGTGAAATTAATAATTATAATAGTACGGCTGACAAGCAAATGAGACAAGCTGAGAGCAATACAGGTACACAAAAGTTTGTTTCAATAATAATTATAATCAAATTATAACCAAGTGTCGTTAGGAATTCAATGCAGGTAAAAAATTAGTTAATTAATCTGACAAGATATGACAAATCGAAGAATGCAACCATTAGGACATTGTGAAACCAGACCTATATGCCCTACAGGAAGGCAACTTACTTCTTGCATGGCTCGATACTCACTCAAATGACTGATTTATGCAAAAGGAAGTGGAGTGTGTCCACTGGTCGATTTACTCCCTTTTTGAGTTTTGTATCATCGAAATATAAAAGTAATATAGTAGTGATTGGCTAACTGAGCTGAAGTCATTTGCTGTAACGACTGTCTTAATAAGCAACTTAAAACTGTTAAAGAATTCCTTAGTAAAATGGATATCCAAAAGGCTCATTGATTAAATTAAGAATTTAACTCTAGGGTAGGTTTGCATGTCAACAGTTCCGAAGAAGCTCTTACTGCTAACATTACTGTACCTTGGTGATAGCATCAGTGAAATAATATCACAATACTTAGAGAACTCATTAAAAAAAAGAATTCATTTTAACAGAGGTACATTGCCTTTTTCAGTTTCCCCTCCTCTGTGTATGTGTCTGCCGATTTGACCGCTTCTTTTGAGGCAATTACAATTAGGCCTATTGATCAGCGGATTTCTGAACGTTATCCTACGTGGTTAAGTAATTGTCTGTTTGTAGCTGTTTCAGATCACATTATTGTTACTGAAAGTGGACTTGATTTTATCAGGGTAGTTTAAGTTCTCTACCATATTGCAACTCATCTTCATTTTGCTTCATTTGTGGCTGAGGCCATGGGAATCCACATGAAGAAGCCGAATCTGTATATTCGGAAGAAATTCCTACATCCACTTTTATTGCTTTCGTTATCTTTAAATAAATGTAAAAATCCGATAATTTCCCCCCTCCCCTCCCCTCCCTCCTAAGCCACTTACAGGTTATTAATATTTTGACTCTCTTATTATTCTACCCTTTAATTGTTACATCTTCGCTCAATACTGAAGATCAGTTGGCCAGAAAAGGTCAGCAACAGAGATCTCTGGGAGCGAACCAACTCATCAGGAACCGATTCTGAAAGAAATAGGCAGGAAGAAATGGAGATGGATTGGCTGGCCATACTCTGAGGAAACCATCAAGTGACATCACTAGACGAGCCATCGCTCGAGTGGAACCCGAAAGGGAAGCGGGTGGCGAGTTGGTCGTCAGTGTGAGGGTGGGGTGACTTGGAGGAGGTCATGTGGAAAGGAGATGAAGGCATGTGGGCAGACTTGGAGTCAGGTGAAAACTCTAGCAGAGAACCAAACGCAGTGGAGATGGGCGGCTGAAGCCCTATGTTCCTCTAGGAATTAAAAGACATAATAATATTTAATTGTTACATTCGTTTTCTTAATATTTTTTGATGTTAATTGTAAAATGGTATTTATGAATATTGGTCTCACACGCGTATCTTCGAACTGTAATTTTTTGACCTTGATGGCTTGATATTATTTTAAAAAAAAACCCTATTGCTGATACCAATCATTCTATAAATATTGTGTAGAACGTGATGAGAAAATTATGGGAGAGAAAATTATTTACTCAGTCTTTTTCTCCTCTAAAAAACTAAGTCGGGATTTTCTTTGTACTGGGTAATCAATCAACTTGTGTTATTGTGGTGAGAGCTGGCTATAAGTCAACATTGGTAGACATTAATTTACGTCAATGTTTATGTCCCGAATATTGGTCGTGAGAAAATATGAACAAAAACTGATTCAACAACCGACCGACCACAACAGACTTCGCGTAGGCGGATACAGTTAACATATAAATGATCTGACATTCAAAAGACAGTCACAAAGACATGCAAGGTTAACTTTCTGTGAGAAACAACCAATCAGAAGACTGTTTTTGCTTGCCTGACTAAGCTATAATAATGCACATGAAATATATATTGATATGTATCCACATATATATATGTGTGTGTGTATGGTGATCTCTCTTTCTGTTGCTCGCTTAGTCTGTGACCATTTCACTTTGAATGAACCTGTCTCCTTTAACAATGTATATTCCCCTCATATTATATATAATATGAGTGTTTGTTGACAGTCCGTTGCTTGGTGACATATATCCATATATGGTGGTTGTTGATATGTCTGCTATATTTTGCTATGTATATATGGATCGATAGTTCATTATAATTAGCCATTCATGTTAAGACTGTCTATTGATTTGTTCACACACTTGTCTGGACATTCATATATATTTCGCTCCCACAAATCTTGTGTGACTTTGGTGTGATACCACTTTTGCATTCTCCTTGTGTTTGGAAAATAGAAGTATCATCGCAAACCTAGTGGTCTTTTGATTTCCGTCTTTCTTGCGTCAGGACTACTAAATTCTCGACCAGTACATAACAATAATTTGGCGACGAGTACATAACATATATAAATACGTGTTGATTTCCTTAATAAACGATCTGTTGCCTGGCCCTTGTCTTCTGTTGTTACATTATCACTAGCTATCATTTAGTACAAATAATATCGCATTTTCTCAATTCATGTTTCTATATATTACAATATATTTCTTCTTTTTATCTGAAAATATTCAAGCTTCACAGAATAGTGATTTTCGTTATTCAATTCCTAAGGATAATGATCATTTATCAATGAATAATTTACAAATAAATGAAGTTTGTAGTTGGAGGTTGTCACACAGTCGTAGTTCTTCATTTCCACTTTCTCAGTACAATGGCAGTTATTATAATCGAAGTGAAAAACGCAAAGAACGGCGACGTAAATGGTTGGAATCATTTGCTTTACAGTCAAAACGCGAATCTGAATATGCATCACAATTTGATGAATTATTTATATCTAAAGATACTGCTAGTAGTAAACAGCATTTAATGGTAACACATGCGGAAGTCACTCAGTTGTTTACAGCTCAGTATAAAATCTCACCAGCTGATTTTGATCAAATATGGTAAGTGATGTATTAAACTTTCTTAAAAGTTTATTACTAATTCATATTTTTTTTTCAGTAAATGGAAAGAAGTGCAATAAACATTCAAAACATGATTCAAATGAGGATGATAAATGTTCATGTATTATCCACTCGATACTAATTATTACTATTATATTATTATTGTTCCCTTGGGTTCCTAGTGGAACATAGGGCTTCAACTCCACGTCCCCACTTCCTTCTGTCTTCTGCTGTGCTTTTCCCCTGCATCCATCTTAGTCCATACTCTTTCAACTCCTCTTCACACGATCTCCTCCATGTCACCCTTGCACTGACGTCCCACTTGCCGCTTCCCTTTCGGCCTGGTTCCACTCGAGCAATGGTCTGACGCGCACGCGATGTCACCCAGCGGCCTCCTCAGCCACGAGTGTCCAATTCATCTCCACTTTCTCCTGAATATTTGGTGGTTGGTGATTGGTTCTTGTTTTGTTTGTTTGTTCTCATAGTTTCTTGTTGGTGATTCTTTCCGACCCAACCCGACCATCTGATCTTCAGTGCAGAGCGAAGACAGTTGTTGGTTGATAAAGGTCTGCAACAGACTGGTGGAAATATTCTTTGTGACCCGCCCGCCAAGTTTCTGATCGGTATAGAAGAACTAACTGACTTGACGTTTGTGTTGAAAATCTGAGTTGTGTTGTTGATGCTGAGTGACGAGGATTTCCAGATTGGTTTCAGGTTGATGAATGTGTTTCCCGCTCGCCTTCCCGATTCTCGCTCGATTTGACATCCTCGTCCGTTCCGACTGCCTGTGGTTGAGACAATGCTCCCTAGATAAGTGAATGAAGTAACCTCTTTCAAGTCGTTTTACTGATTTCATTAAGTGTAAACTAAGCCAAAGGTGTCCTTCGAATTATTCGTTTTTAGGCTTCAGTTTTTTCAGTAGATCACCTGACTTCCAACGGAGTACCATATTCCTCATGTGGCAAACTGATAAAAAAAGCAGAATCTAGTAGATTACAACATTAGTTCAAGTAGCAAAAATCCTTCACAAATTAATGTTTACAAGTGCTAGCGTAAATGTCAAGTAATAACACAGAAATAAAGGGTGAATCGAAATTTAAAAAATCTTGCATCTAGGTTTACGAGAAAGATTCACATACTATTTTGGAGCAACAGTTAATTCTCTAAAACACAAGTATGGTTAATTTGCAAAGCAGCAAAGATAGGATCTCAAGTGAACGTAGCCTTCGCTCCACACTGAAGGTCGAATGGCCGGTGGAAAGAAATAACAACAAGAAACTCTGAGAAAAAATCAATCAAGAACCTACTACTCGACAAATATTCCGAACAGGATGAATGAATGGATCGGACGAACGCTGAAGAGATCGTTGAATGACATCGCGTGACAGGCCACTGCTCGAGTGGAACCTGAATGGGAAACTATGAGTCGGGTGTCTGGTGGTGTGACATGGAGCAAAATGGTGTGAGAAAGAGATTGGAGACTATGTGCAATAATGGAGCCAGATAAAGAGGACTGCAGAGAACAGGACAAAATTCAGATCTCTTGTTGAATCCCTACATTCGACTCGGAACACAAGGAATCAATAATTAGTAGTAATAATTTGCAAAGCTGCGTAATTGCCTCAATTATGGTGGTTATTTGTTATTTTATATAATTTAAAACACCATCTTGGTATAGTTAGACACCAAGAGATGCACCACATAACATTATCATAAAACTATATTAGAGAAGATAAAAACTAAACTGCTAAGGGGAAAATATTGGAAACAGGTAAGTATGTTTAAAAAGAATATTTAGATCATTTATACTCTATTTTACTCTCAGAAACAGCAGAAAGTGCATCATTTTTACCATCACCTTTAATTCTAAATCATTTCTGATAACTTCTCGAGTTACTGAGTTGCATGGTCTATCGTATCCCATCGAAAGGAACTGTGATATGGCAACTATTTTTAATCCTGCGGAGCAACTTAGGTTGGTGTATTCCTCTATGCCTTGATATGTAGTCTTCTCAACTACTTTTATCGATCCATGTGGGAAGGTGATCGCAAAAACCTGCTTCTTATTCTGAAACGGTACTTTACACTTGAGTGGTTCAAAGAACATACTACACCCAGAGATACTGAGTAAGGTAACCAATTAACTGCGTTCTGTGAGGACACAAAGCCTTCCTCCATACGGCAAATCCATGCGCCCATCAGAATCGAATTTTGTTCAGGAGAAGTGGCGACTGTCAGTAATTCTGTTTAACATAGCAATGTGTTTCAAGATTAGATTCTATTCCCTCCCCCTAACGAAGGCTTTTTGTATAGGGCTCTCAGATTGCTGATAATGCTGTAATGGACATTTCTTTCTAGCAAACAATTCCAAGAAAAAAGACTTGCAAAATAAATGAAAGGTGGTCTTGATATCAACAATTAATGCGACCGTTAGCATGCACTATTTGTAATGGTATTTCATCAAACGACAAAGTGTGATCGATAAATCCACGACTTGAAAGTAACACTGCTCTTTATGAATTAGTTTTTTTATTCGTATGTGAAGCTGTTTGGGAATAGTTATGTAGCGGAAGAACACAAGAGTAGGTGGTAACGGAATTTCAAGTTTGATATACACATATAGGGAATTATGTGTAAGAAATATTAAAATTGTCATTTGAACAGATCTACCGTGTTGTGTTACTTCTGTCCTTTCTATTGTGGTTCTTTGTCTTCTCATCGTGTCTCCCGCGTTTCGATGCAATACTGGTTCATTTTACTTTACTTACTTTACTTCGGCTATCTCCTACGGGAGGATGAGCCGGCTTCATGAACGTCTCGAATCATCGCTGCCCAGGCGCGGCAATTTGTAAGAGAGTTCATGAAGTTTCATGGGAATTTGGTACGAGTGATGTCCCCAGCATCGCTCGGCCTTTTGTTTGAGAGTGCAGCTCTAGCCTTCACACAGCCAAGTGTGACCTACAAGGCAGTAGGAGTGGAGTAAGGAGTCCACTATCCATTGGCAGCCGGTGACCGGAGTTCGGTTCATACGCCTTTTTGAATGGGGCCAGACATCCAGGACATCCAACAAGCCCTTTGTCCATACGTCTGCCGGTGAGCTCCAGTGAGCTTCATACGCCAGTCGTTGGAGGTTTGGAATCAGGGTTTAGCCATCTCCCCTAGACCGTCATCCAATGGACAGTCAACCCGGTGGAGAGCGCCGGGCATCCGCTTTCGCCCTCTCACTTTGGTGAGAAACACCTCCGCCACGTGAAGGCAGTGAGTAGGACTTCCTCAGGAGAGGCTATGTAAGACGCCCGGTCATATGGGAGCATTTCAAGAGGTGTGCGGAGGGGTGGCCAACCCGCAGCGCAAGGCACCCACCCCCGACCATCCTGAGGCTTTGGAGGCACTGGTTCATTTCTTCGCTTTGACTTCAAATCCATCGGCCTTTTGATGTTTTAATGCCGATGAACGTCTCTTTATATACTTTTGATAAATCTTGTCTGTAGTACACATCACAACTATAATCACAATGACTGTTTTATTCTACTCTGATGAAAAACGCAAACATTCGTGCCTTCCCTAACTATCTACTCCTATTTCACCCTATGAATTTCTTTCTCTACTAACTTTTTCTATATGATAACTCAATTTTGAGAAAATAAATGTCTTTTAATATGATGCGCTTAAACAGTCGTAAACTATGACTTACTGGGTCTTTTCAAGCACCTCACGTTCTACTGAATGGGTGACAAAGCTGTGTCAGCTCTCTGCAAACTAGCACTAACATTCATGTCCCTTCCAATCATCAATCTTCAGTGCTTCCTTAATTTAATTTTTATTCCAAATTCTGCCATTCGGGCAATCTGTATGTTAATTATTGCTATTCAGTGAGTGCATAGCTGCTGCTTCAGTTAAATCATCACAGGATTTTTCATTTTTACCAGATACTAATGTTCCTGGGCTAAAAGAGGTCAGTAGGTGATCACATTCATACTTAACATGCATTATAACCGTGTCTATTAGATGTTCACAGGCCCAATAACTGACACTGCTCACCTATAAACAAGATTCACGTACTATTTATGTTGCAAATAATAATTTAGTTATGGCTCATAAACGGAGGTTTTCGGTTTGTAACCACTAGGTCACGGGTTCAAACTCTGCTCCACTTATGGAGGTTATGGGCAGCTAGGTAGTAGTATATTGTGCTGTGCGTCACTGAGATTTTTACTATGTTGAATAGTGGAGCAAATGATTAGGTCGAAAAGAAGAGGAATCAAGCTAATTGCTAAGTATCATACAAATCATAAATTAAAGAGAAGAGAAGGAGAATACGAGTACTTTCTGCGGGTTGAAGTTTCAATATAAGGCTTTCATGTTTTTCCATTACTGTATATCATTTTGTCAAAATAAACAAGTAAATTGCAAGTAACAATTTATACTACCGTCATAGTACTAGTGGATTAGTATTAGTAATAGTGGATCCCCCCCCCCTCCACGGTAGTGTGGGGAAATACTTAGTCTTCCCATGTTACTTCGGTAATATTATATGTGGTAAGCATTTCTTGGGGATTTTGTTACTATATATATATATATATTTTCTTTTTTGTCTCATTCAGGTTTATTGCCGATATAAACAGGGACAATTATTTAGACAAGTATGAATTTTGTTTAGCTAGTCATCTAGCGCATTTATTCGGTCGTCGTGATTTGTCATTGGAAGACGCTGTTATAGCATGCAAACCATATATTCGTAAGATCAATAAGAGATTAGCACAAACTCAAACATATGGTAAGTTTCTTTCAAATGATATATATGCATTTAAATTGCATATTCCCGATGTTATTCAGCATTATATTTTTCATCACTCGTATGACTGACTCACTAAGCATTATTGTTTACCTATATACTGTGCTTAATTTCCTAGTCTATTGTGTGGGCCCTGGCGCATGTCTATAATTATGGAAATTTTATAATGATCTTAATTCCCTCAACTCAGCGCCCAAGTTTTATACTTATATCAGGCCGAAAACTATGGATGCCGTTGTATTAGATGGTTGACAGAAATGCCAATATAGAAGTCTGAATACTTGAAACGGATTTTTCATGACGTTTGAAATCATTGGTGGATAACCAGTGCATATCATTAGTAATGTGCATTCCTTGGTCTAATTTGATATCATCATCTGGTCAGATAATATTTAGTGTACTATTGTGGTGAGAGCAGGCTGCTAGCCAATTGGTAGACATTAATTTACGTCAATGTCTAAGTCACTAATATTAGCCGTGAGAAAATATGAACAACGAGTCCCAAATAGGACGAAATGCGCATCCTGGATTCCACTGCTAGCCACCATCCACCAATTGTATACAAATCAAATCCCCAGAAATCGTCGAAGCATCTGCACAAGAAGCCGACATGTCAACCTGAGACCGAGCACTTCGGTCCAATCAATCGACGGGAAAATCAAAACTTCAATTCAAGGCTAATTCATCAACCAATCACAGCAGACTTAACGTGGGTAAATAAGATTCGCAGATATATGGCTTAACTTTCCGAAAAACCGGAAACAACCAATCAGAGAACTGTGTTTGTCTGCTTGAATAGGCTATAATAATGTACATGAAATATATATATATATTTATATATATATACGTGCTGATTTCCGTAATAAAACGATCTGTTTCCGGTCGTTGTCTTCTGTTGTTACACTATTAGCTATCCCAGTGATGCTTTTTAATATATTATAATCGTTTGATGTCATGTCGACATTTATATCTATTACATTATTATAATTAATCATTATAATCCGAGTTGGGATTCAACAAAAGATCTGGATTTTGTCCTGTTCTTTGCAGTCCTCTTTACCTGGCTACGTTATTACACATAGTCTCCAATCCCTTCCTGGCACGATTTCCTCCATGTCACTACCAGACGCCCAACTCGTCGTTTCCCATTCAGGTTCCACTCGAGCAGTGGCCTGTCACGCGATGTTATTCAACGATCTCTTCAGCGTTCGTCCGATCCATTCATTCATTCTTTTTGGAATATTTGTTGAGTAGTAGGTTCTTGATTGGTTTGTTCCCAGAGTTTCTTGTTGTTATTTCTTTCCACCGGCCATTCGACCTTCAGTGTGGAGCGAAGGCAGCCGTTGATGAAGGTGTGCGGCTGATTGTTTGGAATACTTCTCGTAACGCATCAAGTTTCCGACCTACATGGTGGTAGCAACTGACTTGACACTGGTGTTGAAAATCAGAATTTTATTTTTTGACTCTGAGTGTAGAAGATTTCCAAACTGAGTCTAAAGTAACAGTCTCCAATGTAAAGTCAATGCTACTATGCTGATCAGAGACTTGCACTGCGCGTCATAAAGAGCATCGCAAACAAACTTCAGACCTTCATTAACAGCTGACTTCGCTCAATAATCAAGATCAGATGGCCGACGAGAAAACATCAGCAACAGGGATCTCTGGCAGTGAGCGAACCAACCTGGCAGGAAGAAATGGAGATGGATTGGCTGGCCATACGCTGAGGAAACCATCAAGTGACATCACTAGACGAGCCATCGCTCGAGTGGAACCCGAAAGGGAAGCGGATGGCGAGTTGGACGTCAGTGATAGGGTGGGGGGTGTGACTTGGAGGAGGTCATGTGAAGAGGAGATAAAAGCCTGTGGGCAGACTTGGAGCGGGGTGAAAACGTTGGCAGAAAACCGAAGGCAGTCGAGACGCGCAGCCGAAGCCCTATGTTCCTCTAGGAATTAAAGGATATAATAATAATAAAGTCACACTCTCATGCTTCTGCTCGAATGTATTTTTATAAAATGCATACTTCCATTATCACTTCGTAGTATTATTTTGCTATCCATTGCTTCTTTATCCCGTATATTTTCTGAGATCCTTCGATTTTACCATATATATACATCAATAGTGAAACTTTTTTTTTCTTTCTTTGAACATACGTTTCTTTAGTGATACCTGCAGTTACACCAAGTTAAAATTGCCTGAAATCATCTTAATTTCCTAAATCTTATGTCTGTGATTATTTACTTTTCATTATAGGTAATCATTCTGACTATTTTGACGATGAACACTTATGCACTACTGGTTTACTAACTAATAATAAAAAACAGTATTCCGCACTTGATCACTTTGGTCAGAAAAATCTAAGTGTGTCTGAATGCTTTTCTCATTCAGCTAATATGGATTCTAAATGTGATGCTTCTGAGACAGAATCTACAAACTCTTTTTATAATTCATTCGAAAATTTGTCACATGTTCCTACAAAAGGCTGTGAAAGTTCGGCTAGATCGCCCTCTTCTGCTGGTACTGTTGGTAGTGGATCCGCCTCATCCTCTTCATCATCCTCTGCTTCACTTTCATCAAACTCATCTTCACATTCATCTACTTCAGAGAGCGATTCTAGTCGATTCGCTCAAAATACTGTGGATTCAGTGCATATGTCTAGTGAAAAAACCAGCACACATAATACGTAAGATTTTTTTAATGTTTACTTACGACTTCATTTGTAAATTTTTAATGCTTTTCAAGTGTTGGTTTGTAGGGATTTAATTGGTTACAGGATTTCATCATGAGCTGACCATTGGAAAACCAGATGGGAGTACTGAACAGCTGTTTCGTCCCACTCGTTTGGGACTCTTCATCAGTACGCACCCACACCACAGGGTCCGAACCCAGGACCTCCTGGTTACAAGGCTAGCGAGCTCGTAGACCATTAAGCCACTGGGACCCTATCCAATGGCCAGCCCATGAATTCTAACTTCTGCCAATTCACGACATATCGCGACCCCTAGCCAACGTCTTTGTCGAATATTTGTCCTCACACCCGACCTGCTGTACTCTACTGGTCACGACTTCTCACTAAAACCCCAGGTAGGGCTTCATTATTTTTCCTGGTGGTTCTTATAGTTCTGTGATTATAATTTTTTATTTATTTTCTTACGTTCCCAGTGGGACAAAGGGCTTCGGGCTAGAGGCTTGAAGTTTCGGTAGCACTGATGTTTATTTTTACAGGATGGGGTTGCTAGCCTCATGTCGAACCTTCCTTCTTTACCAGTCTTATTACTGGCTTAGCGAGTTGAAGGATTGGGTCGGCCAAGAATCGAATCCGGAACCACCTGTGTGGTTGGTGAGCATTCTACCGTTGTGCCACCGACGCCCATAGTTCTGTCAGTAATTAATCGTCAAGGCAAATATCTGACCCATTACTCAATTTGAGTATGAAGAACGCTTGAAATTTCCACAACACTGCCATTGGTTTGAAATGTTATTTAATATTAAAGATTCAAATAGTATAGATACCAGGAGGTAAGCGGCAACTTTATCAACTCCTTAACAGACTTTAACTCGAATGTCATGATTCTCAGTTATGCATAAAATTTAAGTTGATTACACACATTTTGTTAGTTAATCAGTAAATCTATTGCTGCTATCGAATTTCGCACACGTACTGGCTGATAACTGGTTTATGAAGACCGAATTTATGCTTTGAATATCCTCAAATGCATTTTTTCCGTTCCATTTAACTAATTTCCTTCATGCTTCATTTTTTTTTATGAGTGGTACATAACTTCACATAGTGCAATATACTGATATTCGCTTTTTCGTAAACAGTCATTTACCTGTTGTTGTTTTTTTGAAAATTAGCTATACTGATCCTATTCGCTTGTTATCATCCATCACTGGTCGTCGAACAGCATTCCTATCTGAATTACCTAGTAGTCATCGACGTCGTCTCCTATCTTCACTTATCCGTGAAGCCAAATCTGTGAATCATACCTTACTTCGCCTGAACAATGAAATGCAATGTGAGCTTGCTGAATTGAATGATCAGCGAGTTAATTTAAGTGCACAACTTCAGCACTTAGGACTTCAACCAGTACTTTGAGAAAATGCTTTTCTCTTTACAAATTCTTAACTATAAATATGATTTTTTTTAAAAAAGCTTAAGGCTACAAGAACTTTCACAGATTGAATACTACATTTGTCTTTATACAAAATCTAAGTTTGCATTGCGAACAACTTTTCTTTGATATTTCTGATTTTTTGTCGTCTCTATTGAAAAAAATATGTGATACATGTATTATCTGATTTCACCTTTTTCGGACTTAATAAAATTTTCCCCCTTGATGAACGTCAAGAAAACAAGAAAAACAAAGTGAGCGGGATAACCTAATGTTTGATTTTGTCGAGTTTCTTCTCAATTGCATGCAATTTAATGTCAATATACGCAGTATTCACATACTCAAGTTGCTGAACATTAAAATCAAAGCCATTATGTAATTACACAATTGAGTAGTCTACCTGAGAGATAAAGGTTGTTCTTAGGCTTATTTAGGATAAAATTCCCACAATGAAATGAGGTTTTAAGCTGATATCACATGTTGTGTAAATGTTAAGTAATTAAGGTGAGCAGAGGTCGAAAGTTCATTAAGAGTTATGGAAAATACCAAAATTAGAAGTATGAAATTGTTACCAAACCAAACTAAGTAAAATAATGCAAAATGTAGTCACCATGAAAGAGCGAGGATCTTCCCGGTTTCAAATAATAAAATTTCTCCGGATGATGATTCTTAGCACAAAGTGACATATCATGAACAGTTTTGAGGCCAAGGTTTGATTTCCGTAGCCACTTTGGTATACAGATATGAGTTCAGTCAAAATTTCACCATCACCCGAACTACTGTGTTTACCATTGTTATCGGTGTCTATCTTCAATTCTGTGATTGCTTATCGGATTTGTAGTAAAACTAATAGACAAGAAAACCGTTATGTAATTAGTGGACTAGATAAAAGGTTGAACTTGTCACACCATAAAGCACTAAATACAGAATATAACGAAACAACAACCTAGAAAGTTTTTCGTGCGGAATTTAACCAGTGGAATCTGTGTAACGACTTTTACTAGTTTTCACTGGTTGAGGTATTTTCTGTGCCGACTAAACTGAACGGGCTGATGAATAAATACGCCAACATTTCATAGTTTTAGCTTAGTGATGGCTGAAAACTCCGCAAATACTACCACAGTGCCAAAGTTGTATACCTGCATCAATAATGATCCATCGCCAGCTCCTTTTAAAGGTTGTATCGGGGTTAGTGTCATGGCTATTAGGGGATTGTTCAGGAAAATGAGGATGTCGCATCAATTTTAAATGAAGTCATCATTGTATCCATCTTCAAAAATTGCCAACGAAAAATGTACGACAACCACAGGGTATTCGACCAATGTAATCCCATAAACTTCCGAACCGGTCTCTGTTGTCTAGCCCTGAGACTAGTTGGAGAATGTAGACAGGTGGTTAGCCTGCAATATGGCGTCGTGAGATGAAAGATATCGTCAATACTCTCTGGTAAGGGTCAGAGAATCAGTTCAACTCTGTAGCACTAGGCTTTACTAGGTATGACCAAGAACCGCAGTCAGTGGGGAATAAGTTGTGATTTCGTTGCTTCTCTTCCTCAAAGTAATATGTTGAGTGTTCTTTCATCTTGTCAAGTATACTTTCTTCCTTTGTGAATGACGTCTTTTATTCATTCTCCCTAGTACCTTTAGATATTTCTGGAAAACTATTGTTGTATGGCACGTTTCGATGCCCATATTGCAACAATAAAGCAAAACAAACACCGATATTTTAACAAACGAATACTCAGCCAAATGCAAGAACGTTAACAATTTCACGGATGAGCAGTATTCGAAGAACAATTACTTGGTTTGATATAAGGAACTTTCTCCTAGTTGAGACTCAGCAGTTGGAGCGATTATATCATCCCTACGAGTTCCTTGAAAAATACAGGGCAGTGAAAGTTGTTGATAAAAGACAGCAGAGAGTGGGAAACACATTTCGCTAAACTGCAAGTTTCTGACCCATATCGAGGAACTGACGACCGTAACATTGTTATTAGGAATCCGAATATTTTGTCTTGATTTTGAGTGTGGAAGATTTGCAAACTGATTTCAGAGTGATGGTGTGTGTTGCTTTCCGATTCTGTCTATGATATCCTCATGCGTCCCACGAGTAGTTGAAACAATGATGCCGAGATAGGTGGAGGAAATGTCCTCTTTCAAGTGTCTCCCGTTGCTAGTGATTTGTGCATATTGTTGTTGGCTAGGTATCTTCATCACCATCTTCTGCCTGCTTATCACCTGAAGTGCTGTCTTCGGTGCCGGCCACTTGTTTGAACTTACTGTAAGACTTCTAGTTGGTGTAACATTGGGCATCCATTATCGTTTTTACTAGCTAGTATAAGCCAATTTGATTTCTTTGCGCTTGCTTGTTGATTGTGAGGTAAAGGCTCCTGGTCTTCGGCAAACTCTTGGGTGGTTCGTTCCGCCACTCGACTCCAAAAGGAGTAGTGCCGAGATTAACTGTATGTTTTTGTAGTATGCGTTGCGTTAAGACTTACTACTTTGAATGGAGTAGATTCTTTCACCAGTTAGTCCGCCGGTATCGTCGTCTAAAGAAAAGATAATAATAACAGGTATGATTATTGTAGGTTATTCAGACTAAAAGACATAAAAAAGAAATAAAGAAAACGTGAAATATAATATTCATAATAATAACAAGCGTGAGTGTAGTAGTGGAGCAGTCAGGAGATTAAAAGGGGAAAACGACGAATTTAGTTGTCTACCCATGAAAGACGTATTTTATTTTAAGGGGATAGACCATTTGGACGCAGTCCTTGTGTTACTGCATGATTGTCCAGCCTCCGCCCAGAGGTGTCCACAGACGGTGCCATAGATACATACGCCAGTAAGAAGTTCCAGGGACGGCAAACCCGCAGTGAAAAGAAGTGGGATCGCACCCGGGTCGTCGTCCTCTCGCGAGCTATGCTTCTGGGTTTCCACGAGGAAGCCTATGCCTACTCAAAGGCAGAACACCTTTTGTCAGTCACGTCTCATAAACCGTTAATGCCCAGCTCTTGCTACGCTCGGGCCCACGCTGTTCCATGCAGTTTTTCAGAAACGCTTAGTAATAACGGACGAAAAACCAAAAGACCGATTGGCTACTCGAGGATTCTTTATTGTTACACCAACATATAAAAATAATGTTTTTACTAGGGTCTGTGAACAAATATTACAATAATAAATCACAAGATCACTTCTGATGGTTTACTGCTGACTTCTTTCTGAACAGCGACCGATGAGACGATGACTATCGTATTGATGCCTCCGCGAAAATTGGGGAAGTTGATTTTGAGCAAACAACCAAGAATTGATCGTTCAATCTTCAACTCCATTGACACCTTTGTTTGGGTGATTATGGTCGCTTGTTATCTTGAGGGTAGTAATCAAATCCCCCTGAACCGATGGTAGCTTTGTGTGAAGAGGCCTAATTTCTGAAGCTGTTCATAAAGAGGTTTGTTTTAGAGACCTATCACTCCTTTCGTCTCCCGTCTTTGGAAACTTTCCGAAAGGTTTACGTCTCTTATAAGAAGTCGGGATACAGTGATATTATGCACTTCAAGATGTGGTCTGACGTATGTGTTGTACAACCTTAGAAAGAGCTCAGGAGTGAGTTTATCCAACTGTCTATGTGTGAAGTGTATGACCGCACATGCCCTCGCCACATACCTCGTGTAATTTACGCTGGTGTCCATTTTTTCCATTGGAACTAGACCTAAGTCAAACTCCGACGTTGTGCAGGACATGCTTTCGTTTCACAGAGTTAAAACAGCATTCTGCAGCATACAGGTGCGTAATTTCACTGCTTTTCACTTCCCAGGTTAAAAGTCATAGTACTAGCCACCGCCCAGTCTTCCAGAAGCTTTAGATCTGCCTGCAGTCTATCTGAGTCCTCCAGCCACTTTTTTTGCCCTACTTATCTTTACTTCGTCAGCGTAGAAGCGTCAGGCAGCCTAGACGGTAGATCATTGATGAAAATCAAAACCATCAGCGGTCCTAGGATAGAACCCTGCGACACTCCTGATGACGAGCTGTGAATGATTACTGCACTTGAATAACCTTAGTGCAAAATTTCTTTTCACCTAGGTAGGCCTTCAACCACAATAGCAGCGGTTTACCTATACCTTCCTGACTTATTTCGTGAAGGAGAAGGTCATGATCGTCTATGTCAAATGCCTTGTCAAAGTCTCGAGAGACCACATGGACCGGAGCATTCATATCCCTGCTTGATGCCCAATCTTCCCAAGCTGAAAGTAGGTTTGTTACACAGGATCTGCCTTTGCTGATATCATGTTGGTATATTAGTCCTGTCGAGATGCTCCTTGATGTGACCATCAACAATAGTGTCCAGTATGTTTGATTCCAATGGGGTAGGGATATTGGTATACTTCTAGTTGCAATTCGCATATCCCCACCCTTGGAGGTCGGAGAAAGGATGGCTCCTTTCAACTCCTTCGGTAGTGTACCGAAATCCATCGAGTTTTGGAACAGATCTCATAAAGGCCTACAGAGAGCTTCGGAGCACTGTTTCAGAATAGATGGCCTGATTTCGTCACAACCTACAGACTTCTCAGGTGAGGGTAGCTGTAACTTCAATAGTACTGCTGCCAGGTTTATTTGGGGAGTGCTCGCTAGATTTACTCTCGATGAATTTGTAGTGCCTCCAATTTCGTTCGCAACAGTAATGTTCACATTTTTCTTCAATTGTTAGCGAAGGCGAAACTGAATGTTTCATTCATCTTCAGACTAGTGGGGTGTTGACTGTTTGGAGCTACCTGGGGGCGCACACTGGTTGGCTGGTTCTTTCTCCGACATTAATCGATATAAGCTTTTGAGGTTCGCCAGGAGATTTTCAGATAGGTCATCCTGAAATGAACTCTTATCACACCTAACTCTCACGTTGCATCTCTTTCGGAGTACCGGGTATGAGTCATGGTCAGTCTGATTCTAAGATACTCGCTACGTAAACTAAGCATTCCACCCTGCTTGCAGAATAATTTGCATACCTCACTTCAGATATGATTCATTTGCATGGTTCTGTTCCGACTTGAGGGACGGTATCCAACATTACTGTGTAAATAATCCCATTTCGCACTTCCCGGCGTTCATCCACAGACGACATATCCCACAACAAGGGCCGTTCTGCATCCTAGAAAACCAGATATTCTGTAGCTTTCTTATTGGTGTTTAGAAAATGGCGGTATTGACGTTCACGTATAGCACGAGGCATACTAACGCAAGATCCAATACCCACAACATCTATAGTATTCGTTCAGCGTAGACCAAGGGGAAAGTGCAACACAAGAGTTGATCGTCCACGTTACGAGATATATTTCGGGACCTAATCGGAGTACGAGAAGATTGCTTAGCTGGTAGTGGTAGTGAAGTAACGTGACACGATGGAGTACCAAATGGCGTGGGTGCCTGACTGGAAGCTTTCAGCAAAAATAGTGGACTTGTTCATCACGCGAAGTGCTGTGTTCAGTTCCAGCCACTTGTTCGAACTTGTTAGTTTTCGACTGTAAGACTTCTAGTTGGTTTGAAATTGGACATAGATCGTCCGAGAGACTCAGATCTTTTATAGCCTTCTTATCGGTGTATTGTATTCCTGACTTGTCGGTCCCCAGGGAACAGTGTTCTGCATAATGTGGTCGACCACAATTAGGAATATCATTAGTGAGAGTAGACAGTCAACCTCCTGTAGCTCCTGTCTTCACTTAAAAATCTTCACTGAGTTTCTCGTCGTTGGTCACTTGGTGTGTGGCATTGTCACATAGTTGTTGAATTCGGTTGATCAGGGTTCGAGGCGATGGCTAGTGTTTGGACAGTCAACACATCAATAATTCACGGTCGACGCTGTCGAATGCCTTTACAAATTCGATGAAGTTGGGGTAGCTATTCAATTAGGATTGTATGCTCCTTTCGATGGTGATTCGTAGTGTGGCGATTCCATGATGATGAGATTTGGTTTTCGTGAATCCAGCTTGTTGTTGTTTGGCGGAGTTGTTCGTTCTCAAAATAACTGTTTTCTAACTTATCCAATTTGAGTAACAATGCCCTTGGAGCAAAGAGGTGACTCATCACACGTAACACACCTTAGTCATGCCAGTTGATAACAAATGCCGAATAAGCCATCTGCATTCGTGTGAAACTTCCCTCAGTAATTAATTCATTAAGAAGTGTACAACTCCAGAAGTAATTGATCTGATGAATATATATTCAACTCTTTGACTGCTTATACTTAAACTAGTTAGTGAACACCACTCGTACGGTAATAATTTAACATTCGACAGGAGTGAATTATACACCAAATGTACTGAGTCTTCTGCACAAGGTTTTTAGTAGGGTGTATTTTATCAGCATCTTCATCTGGGAAGATTACAATTACATGCTCTAGGTCGATGTAACTGTTCCCTCGCAGCAAATCATCCCCTAAAGAGCCGAAGTCAAAAGTGTCACATTCATTAGTACACTCATAATCAGACGATATAAAAGTAGTGACATCCCTGACGAATACTATTAGCTGTCATCACCAGCACTACTCATCACTTCAGATGACCAGTTGCTATAAGCTCTTACATGGATGTATGAGTTCGAGTACTGTCTTCACTAATACAACATACTATTTCGGTGCAATTTTTACGGCTAAATATTGCTACATCATTTTTTGGAACAACTACGTCAAATGTCTCCTTAATATCAAGAAATATGACAAGTAAGCTTATGTTCCAAAAGTTGTCGAAAGATGAAGATATAATCATTTCACCGTTATGAGGACCTAAAGCCATGCTAGTTTCCATGGGTCAGTTTCTCTCAAATACCACACAATTTATTATATGATTATATCCTTGGGTTCAGAGTGGAGCATACGGCTCCAACAGTGCCATTCTGTTGGTTTTTTCACTAGTCATTTTCAGATGACTTCACAATTGACATAAGCCTTCATTCTTTCTTCATATGATACCCCACCCTGCCACCATCCGACGGCCAACTCGGAGTTTCCCGTTCGGGTTCCGCTCTAAAGATGTCGTTTAATTCTCTTCAGTGAATATCTAATCTATACCCATCTCCTTCTGATTATTTTTTTGAGTAATAGGTTCTTGCTTTTTGGCATTGTTATCAAAGTCAGTTGCTGTCTATCCTATTCAAATACCTTACCTTTAGTAACGAGAAAAGGCAGGTATCGACATAATACAGTACTTTACTGGAAATTCTTTAAATTATACATGACACAAGTCTCAGAACTATAGAGCAGTCACTTAGCATTCGTGCTGAAAACCTGTATATAGTTCTAGATGTTGAGTGTAGAAAATTTGTCATCTGATTTTCAGAGTGATGAAGGTGTGTGTTGCCCTTCTGATTCTGGCTTTGATATCCCCACGCGTCCCATGTGTAGTTGAAAAGATGCTGCCGAGATAAGTGGAGGAAATATTCTCTTTCAAGTGTCTTCCGTTGCAAGTGACTATTGCCTGTTGTTGTTATCGTTTTTCTTAATGTTGTTGTGCTTAGGTATCTTCATCACCATCGTCTCCTGCATGTTCATCACCTGAAGCGCTGTGTTCAGTGCCAACCACTTGTTTGAACTTGTTAGTTTTCGACTGTAAGACTTCTAGTTGGTTTGAAATTGGACATAGATCGTCCGAGAGACTCAGATCTTTTATAGCCTTCTTATCGGTGTATTGTGTTTCTGACTTGTCGGTCCCCAGGGAACAGTGTTCTGCATAATGTAGTCGACCACAATCAGGAATATCATTAGTGAGAGTAGACAGTCAACCTCCTGTAGCTCCTGTCTTCACTTAAAAATCTTCACTGAGTTTCTCGTCGTTGGTCACTTGATGTGTGGCATTGTCACATAGTTGTTGAATTCGGTTGATCAGGGTTCGAGGCGATGGCTAGTGTTTGGACAGTCAACACATCAATAATTCACGGTCGACGCTGTCGAATGCCTTTACAAATTCGATGAATTTGAGGTAGATATTTTATTGTGATTGTATGCTCCTTTGGATGGTGATTTGATCAGCATGTGATTTGTTTTTCGTGAATCCAGCTTGTTGCTGTTTGGCGGAGTTGTTCGTTCGTAGCACCCTTTATTTTCTCCAGGATGACACGACCGAATATTTTGCTTTGCGTTGACAGGAGCTTGATTCTGAAACAGTACTTGCAGAGGCCTAGTTGGCCTTTCTCGGGTAGTTTGACAATTTGGCCTTTGTTCGAAACAGCAGGTAACTTTTTTTCCCTCCAGACGTTATCCAATGGTGGTTCGAGTACATCGTCTATAGTTTCTGGATTAGTTCTCAATGCATATGAGGCGATTCGATCTTGTCCTGCTGCTAATCCTGCTAGACTTCTGTGGTTTAATTACTGTATTTGAGAATGTGTAGCTGATGGTGGTAGTATTTCACGACGAGCTGCAGGTTCTGGTGGGTTCAGGAGTCCTTTGAAGTGATCGCCTCATTTTTTCCTTAGTTTCTCCTCTTTGATCATTAGATTCCCTAAACTACCGTTTATTGGTTTCATCTGTCCTGATATCTTCCGCGATAGTGACCTGATTATTTGGTATGATGTTGTGAGGTGTTTTTCTCTTCAGCCTGTACTGCTTGAGTTGATTTTAACCCTGTTCTCTTCTATTAGCTTCCATATGTCCTTATAGAGCCGTTCCTCGTTCTGCTTCTTCTTCATAGCTGAAATGGCTGTAGATGGTTCCTTAACCTACACTTTGTGAGAGCTCCAATGTTCATCCATACTGGTTTCTTTTGCTTCTTCTACGCAACATCCCCAACTTTGCTCTGATGACTGAAGTCAGGGTATCTCTTGTGGCTAATCCTTCAGTTTGTGAGTGTCGAACTTCAATTGTGGTCTATTCCATCTCCAGCTATCCTTATCATGGCTTTCAACTTGACCATGAAGGTTCCTTGAAGTAGACAAGGGTCTGAGTTTAAATGTACTCCTCCTCCCGATTTTGTGCCCTGCAGACTGTCTGTCCACCTTCCTGAGATCAAGATGAAGTCTTTATGGTTTCGGGTGTATCTTTCAAGTGAAGTCGATGTTGCTAGCCTTGTGTATATCCCCTTGTGATTGTATGAGCTGCCTCCGGTCACCAAGACATTGAAGGCCCAGAAGTCTGTGAAGAGCTCACCGTTCTCCTTAATGTCACAGAGAGTTTCCGGAGTCATTAACAGTTGTCGTCGTATGCTGTTCGCTCCCAATTTAGCATTCATACCGATCATTAGGATTGTGATGTCGTTATTTCGGATGTTATCCACTACTGTTTGTAGTTGTCATTAGGAATCTTCCTTCTTCAGTCGCACTGCGTTGTTGGTTTTCGGGTAGCACCGGACGATTGTGACTGTCCTTTCTTTTGGGTGGGATCTCGCTGTCATTATCCTGAAATAGATTTATTCCCGCATTATAAGAGCCTTCAACGTTGTTGATGAGACAATGATAGTCACTCGTTTTGAGTGGTTGTGATTGTCTTCTGGACGACCGGAGTAGAGTTAACAATTTTGGAATACCCACATCCATTCCACCTGCTCTCACAGATTCATGGCACTCTTCCACCATATCTCCTGCCCTCTCCGGCAAGCCGAGCAGCCTTCTTCGCTTTAAATGACGTGGTAATATTCTACATCCTGATGCTAAATTTTGCTGTCATCAGGAGGATGCATATCAGTTGACTGGCTTTCTTAAGGCTTCCAATAGTTCACGCCATTCCGTCTGTCATTTCCTGGTGGAGAATAAGTTAGGTCCTTTGAGGTATATTTTTGTGGTTTTAGGTTTCCATAGAGAGCGTGCCGATTTTCTTAGATCGGGCCACAGGCCCCATACGCTATCTTCAGTTCTTTTTGTCGAATGAATACCTGCGAATATCTGGGCACTTCTGGTTTTTTTTGAGGGTTACGATATGAGGTTCTTACTCTCAGTTGACAGAGTTTTGAAGTGGTTACGTTTGAGGTAGCTGCATTTCATCGTACACGAGTCGGTTTTTATTTATTATAAACTCGTCTCTCTATACTGTTTAGCGCAATTTACTTATACTGTAGTTATTTGTAAAGTCTTAAACTGGGTGTGAAATTGTCTATGTTTGTCATTCGGGCTATATCCTATGAAATGTGACCTTTTCTAACGGTGATTCAGTTGTCTATCTGATTTATTTCATGAGTCCCCGGCGTTGTTTTAATGTTTAATCTATCGAGAAAAGAACTCTCATTTCTCTCTTGCACAAGTTAAAATTGCGACCTTGGGCTAAGGTCAATTTAGTTTTTATATTTTTCTGTTTGTTTTATACCTGTTCACGTACGTTAAATTATGTTTTCTTTCCCCATGGCTTCATGGCTATTTTATTTGAGGAATGAAAATTTTTCTATGTTAACTTGGCTGATACGTAAAGGAATTAAGTGGGTTTACCTCTTATGTAATATCGATCATTCTGTTTTTTTTCGGGATATACCGATTAGTATTGTTATTGAGTTTGAAAATAATATGGCTGGGGAAAGCTACGCGTTTGACAACGTTATTAACAGTTTTTATTATGTTTAAAGTTACTGGTTTAATAACGTATTGTGTCCTTGGTCGGGAGCGTATGATTATTGTCTTGCTGTATTCATCTGGTGGTTGAAGTCCTTTTCTCATCTCCTATTTAGAATTTTATATTGTTTCTATTTCGAGCAATAAATGTGAATTGCTGCAGTGTTTTTACTGTCAGAGACAAGAATCCATGTGACCATAACAATAGGAATGTGTGTATTATTGTTGGAGATGGTTTCGAATGTGATTGACCATACCGTTCTTAACATCACTTGCACGCATTGTGTTTCAGAATAATAATTGTTTTAAAGACAAGATATATACACTGCTTTCACACGCAGTAACATTGTTATGGAGCTCCGTGCTTATCCCAGGTAGTCATAGTTATTTGTGATGGATAGTAAACCGATCTCATTGTGGAGAATTGCTTAATTACATCTATTCGCTTTCAAGTGATAGCATGCTCAATTGCTTCATACAGTCTGGCTAATAGTGTAACTTTTTTTAAATGTATATAAATAATGTCACGAAGGTTATTTAGTGTAATGTACCATATTTCTTTTGCATGTATTGCTGTTCATTAGAAACGTGCAGCACCAGTGATAAAATTAGGAACTACCTCTGTGCACCATGTTAGTTCTTATCAGTCACCGTTAAATGTACACTAAATCAATCGTTGCCAAACACCATAAACATCGATTAGGTTTGTCAAACGCAATGAATTCCGAAAAATTCAGTGTCATATGTTAATGAATGTTGTCAGTTTCATATGTTTAGTGTAATTTAGCTGTTTTTCGTTTATGGACTACAGAATTCGCCTGCGGAGATTATTGTATTTCGCTTACATCTGCTAGTGGTCAACTTTCAATTAAAATCAAGGAGGTGTACCATAGATCCAAAAGCTATGGAAGAAGTCTTAGATCAAGTGGATAAACAGACTTGATAGTTGACATCAGTGAAAACGACATATTCTTTAAAATTAGCTTTCTTTCACGTCTTCTTATCTTTTCCTAGCTGCTTTTTTAAGGTTAATTTTTGTTCTCATTATGAATACTATTGAAGGTTTTGCAGCCCTAACAAATGTTCTTGTTGTAACTAGCTTCTATGACAGCTTTCATTTATTGTTTAATGAATCTTTTCGTTAATCACAAACAGGCATCTTCGGTGGCAGGGACGTCACGTCTTTCAAATCTCATTATTTTAGTACTCACTAATTTCACTTGTCCAATGTAAGTGCCTGTCTAACAACGGCAACAAACACCTACCTTGTCGGTGTCTATTGTTTTGGTTCAATATCACAGAATAATGAGTCACTCAACTGCCTACTTTTTGGTTGGTCAAAGTTATGTCTATGTGCCACCCAAGAATACCGCACCACAAAAAATGTTCGGATACTTATTTCATTTTGTCCTGGCAACAATTTTAAGTACTGGCTTGACGGATGCTAATAAGAGTGTGTATAACCAACTAGATGGTAAGAATGTTTTCATTTTTATTCAGCTTTTATTTTATTTTGTGTTTGTAGTTGTACTACACAAGGTCACAAATTTTGTCACAATAGGTGATGAGAGTCGTATGCAATAACTAGAAGACTGTATCCAGGTTACTGTATAAAGATATTTTGTGGTTGTCACTGTTAAACTAGTGGATCATGCTGTCTCCTAAGTGAACTCAGCAGAAATGCTATTGATGACAGATGCTTCACGTCAAAATATAAATACACTAAACGATTCAGGAGTTGGCTTACTGGAGCATAATCAAACTGAATTCAGTATAAAAGGGTTTCTAAAATGTGAATACTGTTTGAGCTTCATGCATCACATTATGATTTATTGATATACATACTTATGACCTTACTTCATGTGGCACCAGTGTAATTGACCATTACTGAAAGGAAGATTGATAATCTATAAAGTTGCTACCACACACTTTCTTTTCACTATGTTTTCTAAAAATGTGACGTTATGTATGCTCAAAAACTTTGAGTGAATGTTGCAGTAGAGTTTGAGGTCGTTAAACAGGTTGTTTTATCAAAGTGGAACTTTTCACAAAGTATATCAGAGTAGATTACCTCACTTCTAAGAAGCACATAAAAATAAAGAAAAAAATGCAGTGATACCACAATTGACTAAAATGTAATGAATGGAAAATAGTTAAGTGAAATTTAGTGAAGATTTACAGAAGTTAACAGAGAGTGAATGCATCTGCGTCTCTTTTAGCTATTTTTTAGCCGTATCACCAGCCATCTCCAAATGTGACTCAAATCAGCAGTCAAGGACTTCTTAGATTGGTATCATGTTTCTGCCTAACCACTAACTAAAACTTTTCTAACTTGATCCTTAATCAATTAATCGAAGGTGACTGACCATGCTTCACTTTTCCCAGTCACCTAAATCAATTGAGATTCACGATGTCTTTGGTTGGCTTTCCCTCCTTATCTATCACTCTACACCTAGCTTCATCATCACCTTCCGAATTAACCCCGGGTTATACGAAGGCTGTGTAAATTTCCATTTCCGGAATTCGAATATCTAAGAATATCTAGTTTTTTCATGGGTCATTTCAGGTTCCATATGTCCATCCACATCAGATTTACGCTGTAAGCCACCAAATAGTCCGATAAGTACGGTGTCAAGTTTAAACGTAGTTTTTACTAAGACAAACTAGTCTATGAGTGAATTCTGACTGTACGATATATGTTGCTACATCATTCAATCGAAAAGTATTATGAGTGAATTAGAATCTAGACACATTCTAATGTTCAAGTATTGGTTTTGTAGTGAATTGGCAGAAGTTAGAATTCAAGAACCATTGGATCGGGTCCCAGTGGCTCAATGGTCTACGAGCTCGCCTTGTAACCAGAAGTTCCTGGGTTCAAACCTTGGTGGGTGCGTGCTGATGAGGAGTCCCAAACTAGGACGAAACAGCTGTCCAGTACTCCCAGGTTTTCCAGTGGTTCTCTAACTGATGTCAGCTCATGATTGAATCTTCCATACATTCTAATGTATTTAAACGACCTAGCAGAATATCTTGTACCGTCAGACGACTGCATTTTTACTAAGTGATATGAGTGGGTGTGCTATAAATCTAACCGAACCACTACTCTACCAGGCAACTAAATGAAGCAGGACTACGTAAAAAGTTTATCTGTTGACTCGAGATTTTATGAATCAGCAGCTGTTTATATCGCGCTTTGTCCTTGGAAGATCCCTAATAAGACGTGTAGAGCAAAAAAAACTCGTGATTCAGCGAAGATGATCTTTTCATTGATTTCTTTTTCTACAGCTATACAATTCCAGATGTATGCAATTAATTACACGAACTTCTCCAATAGCTTCACATTTCGAATACGTAATAATAATAATAATAATGATTTACTTTATTCCGAAACATTACTTGTGATACAGAATGGAATTTTCAGCATTAATCACAATATTGCATCTAATTTCCTCAAATTATAAATCAAATTAATCACACAGAAAATTTTCCACATTTACAATAGGGGTAGTGTCAAAAACCTGCAGCATATAAAATGGAAATAACAATAATAATGATAACAGCTAGGGTAATAATAATAAGAATACAAGTGAAAATTGCCGTTGGCTTGTGTCACACAGTATTGGCAATGTGGTATAGAAATCCTAGTAAATGAATGAAAAATATTTGTATGAAAGAGTGTTAATAAGATTATAATGAAGATATGGTACGTCTTTTCTTTTCCTGCCTAAAATCTTACACAATGGTACTGGTGTAGTCAGTGATTATTCTTCTCCGAATACTGAATTTCACTTGTCTTCACTTAATTTTTCTTCCTCCATATTCATATCTATTTATTCCCTCTTTTTATGTCCCTCGAGATTCTGAAAGTTAAACTGATGCACTTCTGTACAAAGTCCTGTTTCGATAAGTCAGTCAATCAGTCAACCAAATCCCTACAAACCAATACTTGAATAACAATTAGATGCTCACTAGTGACTGGCCCTATTCAGGTAGGTAGTTACCTGGGGTTCCAATGGGAAGTCGTGACCAGTAGGGTGCAGCTGGTCGACTGTGAGGACAAATACTCGCCGAAGACATTGGCTAGCGGTTGCGCTATGTCGTGAATTGGCAGAAGTTAGAATTCATGGGCTGGCCATTGGATAGGGTCCCAGTGGCTTAATGGTCTACGAGCTCGCTAGCCTTGTAACCAGAAGTTCCTGGGTTCGGACCCTGTGGTGTGGGTGCGTACTGACGAAGAGTCCCAAACTAGTGAGACGAAACAGCGGTCCAGTACTTCCAGCTTGTTTTCCAGTGGTTCTCTAACCACCAATCAACCAAATCCCTACAAACCAATACTTGAATAGTATAATTTTAATTTACGAGTTTCATTTCTAAAAAAATTGCGTTCACTTATCAACTTTTATGGATATATATTAAATATTCCCATAGTAAAATTTAGAACAACGTAATAATTATCATTACTACTATTATGACTAATTGCACAATTTATATTCATCATCGTATTATCCTATAGACGAAACACCATGATTGGTTTATATTTGAATTTTATTTGTAAACTTATACATATTATAGTTAAGCCTGATGAGATCTAATTGAAAACAATGTTGTTCGCTTAAATGTTTTGTTCTAAATTCTATGGATACGTAAAGACGAAAAACATTTTGATACATTTATTCTCCTTAATGAATTTGAACAAAGCAAGAACTACTAGTTTTGCAGAAAAAAGTGGTACCATCGTTGACTTTTCGTCAGCTGCTTACAGGCCAAAGACATTAACTATATCCACAAAAACAATTTTAACATTTTGATTTGGCACTAGTAACTAGTGTGATGTGTCTAGTTCTCTCTTTGGTGCAAACTGAATTCTATCAGTCAGGTTGTAATATGGCCAACATTCTAGGTAGCTCTCTATCACGGTGTGCATTGATTTGATGATATTAGATGGTTGGAAGCAATCGACAGGAAGCCTTGGACCTAGTTTTAGCGCTAGTTGGCACTCGTCAGCAAGGCAACCTTGAAGGAACTCATGTCCCTTCTGATATTTTAACCCGCGTCACCCAGTGCTGTAGTCACAGACGTTACCACTGAGCTATTCTGGCTCGCAAATGATCTCCTGCAGGACTGTAGTGGATATTTTAATTTGACACTAGTAACTAGTGTGATGTGTCATACTTTAATTGTAACATACTTGCACAGAGTTCATTTCAAATAAAAAATCAATCGATCAATATATGCTTACAGTAATATATATATATATATATATATATATATATATATATATATATAATATTAAACACTATTCCGAACGATAATAATCATACACAATGGAAACTTTTCAGCATTACGCATTCAGATGAAAAAGAGATAAAAATATCCATTTATCAGGTTGGCAAAGAAAGATTGATAACTGTTTCTTTCTGAACGCACAAATCAGGTTTCAGCCGCTTGATGGAAATGGCTTCAGCAAACTTGAATAGAATTGAGCTCTTTCGCCTATTGATAATTTTGAATGACTTTTCGACGTCCACCTCATGACCCGTGTGAGGGGAGATCCCTGGCGATGGCACCACTGAAAGTATTTGTTCCCTTTAGACGTAAGCTTTTTGGTACATGTTCAGAAAATCGTAGATATGCCCTTCTTTCTGTCCTTCCAATGTAACTGCTCTCGCAGATACATGTAAACTTGTTTATACAGTTGGAGTTCACATGAGAAGGATATCTGTCGATTTTTGATTACACCAAAGAGCAAGTTGTTCGATAGACGGGGATGAGCTTAGCTACAGGATAGGCTCTTGCTAGTGACGTACTCAGCCTTCTGTTGATCATTACTGCGTTGTCTTCACCTTTATAATCCAGCTGAATGTAAATTGGCTTTTTTCCCACTGTGATTTATTTTACATTTAAGACTTCCGATCTTCCGTACTTGTTGATGAACCTTTGTGGGTACATTGTTGATTCCCCAACATAGAATTATTGTGATATAACGATTACTGGTAGACAAGATTCAGTAGAAAAAAAAATTGAATTTTTTCCGTTTTGCTCTAGTTTGCATTTAAATAAATTGATGCATTGAAACCCAGTAGTTCTTCTTTACTTCATCTGAATCTAATGTGACTACCTGATTTTTATTTTATTTAAACAAACTGAAAGAGACCCAGTGTGGTGAATAATTCGAAGGTGATTTCGTCTAAAGTTCACTTTAATTGTGTAACTGCACATATCACGAAAAATATAGGCTGCTGCTTTCATCTACATTAGTATCTCAAATTATTTCTAACCTGATAAGACCACGTACCAGGATGTAATTAATGCACCTGTAATTATCTTTTTACTTATGTTTCAATGCGTTATTGATAAAACCTTTTTTCTACTCTAGACAAGTCTATTTGATATAGCTTAGTAATATAGTTATTAGTAACTTTATGTTTCGAACACAATTGATTGTTCATATTCATATCATTGAGCTGTGAGCAG